CCCCACTTGAATCCTGTGCCCTCTGTGGCACCGGTAGAAATTCTCCCACTATGGAGGACGTGGCCACTGCCCGCTCCAGATTTGTTGTCTGACTTGTGTGCAAAGGCAGAGGCCAGGGAGAGTTCCCTTCCCTCTATTTCCAGAGACACGGACAACCACCTTGACTCCCTACCTAGCACCCCACAGGTGACGCTCTCAGCGAAAGAGAGACAGTTCCTGAAATCCCTCCCCCGCACATCCTCTGTGGTGCCCCTCTCTCTGCCCTAGATGTCCCAAGTTTGCGCTGACCGCCGCCCCCCGCCCCCCCCCGACATCCAGGAAAGAAGATGAGCTCAGTTGTGACGGGAAACACCAAGAAGCGGAGCTAAGTGCCTCTAAGCAGTGGCCGGTTCAGAGAAGAAAGACAAAGATGAGTGCAGACCTACAACTGCACGTCCACACTGAAGGGGCCACCCATGGCAGTACCCTAGCTCTCTGGCCCCCCCCCACCAGTCCTGTCTTAGTGGCTACCTCACTACTCCCTGGCGTCACCACGTCACCACGAGGGGGGATCTGGAGAGAGGCGAGGTACAGTAGCATTGGGGGTTTGCGGCGCTTCGTCCCGGCAGACGCTGTCCAGCTCGTTCAGACTGGCCGAGGCTAAGCCCAAAGCTCGCCTGCAGACGTCCCTGGAGCGAATTCCAGGCTGGCGCCAGGGGGCGCTGCAGGTCCGGGCCAGCCCAAGCCAGGTGGGGGCGGTGTGGGAAGGGAATGCAGCTGAGAGAGTGGGAGTGGCAACCTAGGGGCAGGAGTGCCCGCTGCGGAAAAGCTGGGCGTGCCAGTCTAGGGCTCCGGACAGCCCAGGGGGCTGGAGCTCCAGTTTGGCCTGATGAAAGTGTAACTGTATTGCGGGGGCCTTTGGGTTACTAACTAGAACACAGTGCACCGCCTTGTACCTTTCCAGGTGCCCCTGACGGGGTGGACAGGTTGACCTAATCTCCCCACTTGTGCCACAGGAATTTCCCTTAGTATAGGCTGAAGTTGATTAGCTTGCGCCCTACTGAGCTCCATTCTGCAGCTCTAACGTCTCCATCGTCATCCCTGCTCAGAGGCGTGGCTGGGAGGGACTGCTACTCAGATCTCGCTGCTTGGGTCCAGTTCCACTCTGGTATAGAAGAGTGAATGGCTCACATATTAAAGTGAGTAAGGATGCTAGTGGGTGATCCGAGGCTCTAGCAGAGTCACAAGATTACACCCATCCTCCAACACCACACAAGACAGTGTGACCTATGTCAGGCTTCAGAGAGAACTTCCAAACTACGAAGGGAACAGAAGAACTGCATTCCCCACAGTCCTCATACTGTTGCAAAAGCGCAGACATCAGAGGTCACCACTGTTTCCTGAATGCATGGACCTTCTCCAGCTTGCATATCTACACAGATCTCCCACCTTACACCCGCTATGCTGTACAGAAATCCATGGAGTCAGGGCTTCCAGTTCAATCCTCCAGGAAGACTAAAGATCCCCAGTGGAGCAGGAGTGGAGCCCACATGGGCCACAAACTTCTAACTCATCTCTACCTCCATATGGCAGAGACCCACAGGAACTCTGCTCAGAGAGGCACAGGGAAGACAATCTGACATACCAAGCCTCCTTTCTCATCCTTTAAAAATGAAATCAAAACAAAAATGTTTAGAGCCTGGTGTGGTGGTTGCAATCCCAGCATTTGGGAGGATGAGGCAGGAGGATTGCTATAAGCTGGAGGTCAGCTCCAGCTACATGCTAAATTCCAGACCAACCTGAACTTCATAGCAAGACCCCATCTCAGAAAACAAAACAAAACAAAAAGTAAAAATTGAAAATTAAAATTTCAGACCAAAAATGTCAAGATAATTTTTCACCAGTATGTGTACACTATAAGTAGATAGTAATTTGTGATGGGCCCTGCTGGCAGGCGCCTCGCCCAGACACAGCTTTGGGTGTCCCTCCTGGGCCTGGCTGGGCCGTCACTTCACCTGAGCGAGGCTCAGGCAGGAGGCTTCTGTTGGTCTGAGTCACCTCACTGCTGTGGGGGCTTCTCAGAGTTTACCATGGTAGTGGATGTCACCCTGTCCGTCCATCCATCTGTCCGGGATTTCCTTAATCTCTGTGTGTCGTGCACTGTAACAGGCCATGCAGGAAGCCCTTCTGGTGCCACCAAAGAGGCATTAAAGATCGACAGCAAAGGGATGGGCCATTTCTGTCCTTTGAGAGACTTCCAGGTGGGCTTCAGGCAGTGTTGGTGATTTCTGCCCATGCTGCAGCCCAGGGCATTCTGTTGGCCATCTTATTACAGAGCACCTGCCACGGGCCGGCCCGTCACAGGGCTGGAGGCTTGGAAGGGTGCATGGATCTGGACAAGCATCATAAAATTCAAGCTCCAACACCAAGGTGGGGTGTTCCCCACATATTTAACACATGTTAAATCAGTGTCAGTCATTTTTTGTAGACCCCCACCTCTATCACATGCATATTGTGCCCAGAGACCTTGCACTCACAAGGACTGGAGATCTGCTGCCCAGCCTCTCTTCTCCACACATGTATGGCACATGTATCAGCAACACCTCTCACCACAGTGGCACACGTGGGTACATGTGTCGCTTTCATTGTTACATCACTGTCACTCAAAGTTCATAGTTTACATTAGGGTTCATTCCTAGTATTGCATTCTCTAGGCTGGCACAACTGTACAGTGTCATGTGTCTACTGTTATACTAGCGTGAAGAATGTTCCATTGCCCTAAAAATCTCTATATTCTACGTGTTCCTTCTTCTCTGTCTACTTTTGGCATCCCCTGGTCTTTCTGATGTTTTCCAGTTTTGTCTTTTCCAGAATATCTCTGAGTTGGAACCATACAGAACGCAGACTCTTCAGATTGCCTTCTCTCACCTAGTAACAGGAGTTCTTTCCCTGTGTTTCCCCACAGTTTGACTGCTTGCTTTTTTTTCAGTGCTGAGCATCACATCATCTAGATCAACACAGTTTTTCTTTTCATTTCATATCTTTTGTTTAGGACATTACTCCTTGAAGATAACTCATCAGTAGCTGATTTCTTGGATAGTAATAAAAAGAGCCTAGCGTTGTACTACAAAATGTAAATAATCTAAATGTTTGCTTTGCATTTATTTGCTGTACCAGCCCGAAAGTTAAATCTAATCTGCTGTACAGAATGTGGGGGTGGGTTTACTTATTTATTTAGTTATTTACACACTACTGGGAATCCAAACCCTGGAGCTTGGGCATGCTAGGCAGACACTCTACACTGAACCCCACTCCCAGTCCCAAAATGTGATTTTTAAGCGTTATCAACCACCTCAGCACTTCACACCGAGCACACTCTGAGCTGCCCTGCCCTCCTGTCAGACCCCTCAGACAGGCCAGGTTTTCACAGCCTTGTCTCCTCACAGCCTATTTCTTCTTCCTGGGATCCTTTGACTCCCAGTTGAATTAGCAGATTCCTGCTCTTGCATCAAAGTCTTGGTTGAGTTTTATTTATTTCAGGGAAACTTTCTGCAATGTTTGCTGCCGGGCAAAATTAAGCACATTTCTTGGGGCTCTATTTGCTTATTACCGATCCACAACTCCCCGCATTTTATGCTAAATTATATCTGACTCTACCACTAGCTGGGGCAGGGACCTACTCCCAGGTCTCCTGTGCTTGCCTCAATTATGCTGGCAGCTGAGAGTGGCTGTCATGAGATTTAATTTTTTTAAAGGGAGAGACAGGTATCAATAGTGCTTAACACTAATATAGTTCACTAATCATCATAACAGTAATATTTTGCATATAGCTAATGAGAGGATGTAGTTTATAAAGTTAAGACAGTTAAAGTTTACAAATTTTTGCTCTGCCCATTTCAGGAAAACAGACCAAAAGGCAGTGGTTTAGTCTGAGCTATATTGTAAAAACTATGAATGTTTCCATAAATTATAGGTACAAATATTATAGTTAGTTCATCACAACTAGCCTTGCCCGAGGCTTGATTATTTTTTATATCATTCAAAATATTCATGTGCACCAGGGCTGGGAAGGTAGCTCAGAGGTAAACCATTTGCCCGGTACACAAAAGGCCCCAGGTTCAATTACCAATACTAGAAACAAAATGACTGTTCTGGGCTGCTGTGGTGGTGCATATCTGTGATCCCAGCACTCAGGAGGCTGAGGTAGGAGGATCGCTGTGAGTTCAAAGCCAGCCTGGGCTATATAATGTTTTCAAATCTAAGCTTATACTACATAGTGAGACTCTGTCTCCAAAAAAAAAAGTACTGAAAATGTGCAGACTTTTTCTTCTTGTGCTTATTCCCCAAATAACAGTAAACCAGTCCAGTAGTGGTCTGACCAATTCCCCTACACACTTTGGGACTGTGCTCATATCTCTGGCTTCTCTCTGGCCCCCGACTCCTTAGCAGCTGCCCGCCTTGGTCCTGTCTCACTCACTCTGAAGCCTCTGTCCTTACCTTGCAGGCCCTCCCATCTGCCTGGAAATTAAAGTCCAGGGCACTGACCTGACCCAGCTGCTCATGTACAGCCTTACTTCACACCCCCTGTGCTCCTCTACATCAGAACACGGATCGGCCACTGTTTGCCCCTCTGGACCTGTGTAGACCATTTCTGTCTTTCATGATGCTTTCACCAGATAATTTCAGCGCAGTCTTCCTCCAGGAAACCTTCCCTGATTCTACCTCCCCAGCACCACCCATTTTTTTTTTTTTTTTTTTTGGTACCGGGGATTGAACTCAGGTCCTTGCGCTTGCAAGGCAGGCCACCGAACCGCTGAGCTAAATCCCTGGCCCTTCACCCACGCATCTTGCATACGTCTCAACCTCTCCCCTTCTCGCTGCCTCTGTTTCCCCCAAATAAATCCAGAGCCACAAGGGCAGGACCGTGTTTTATTCATCTCTGAACTCTAGCCCGCAGCCCTGGCCTACGTGGATGACGATAAGCAGGCTTCCACACATCTAGGCTACCTTGGGAAGTGTGAAGGGAAGTTTCTGGTCACTTTTCTTGATGATAATAATACCCACCACCCACAACTGAAGGAAAGAGAGGTTTATGTGGGCTCCATGGCAGGACCTGCTCCGAGGGGCATGGCAGAGGAGGCACCACAGCATCAAGTGATGAGTGGGGAGAGAGGCCACACCCCGGCAGCCCATTTCTCTGAACCAGCATCCTAACAACAAGCCAGCTAGAAGACCCTACAACCCAGTCACCTTCCGAATGCCCTACTAGGTGTGTGGGGGCCCCTGGGAAATACCTAGCTATAAACCATCATAGGAGGGCATGGGGAGAGAAGCACTTCAGTAGCTCTTATCATTCTACAAATTCCCACTGCCTGGCTCAAAATGAAGTCACTTCATTCTCTTCCTACTTGGCTTCCAGGCTCTTTGTTTTTGTTTTGGTTTTTTGAGACAGGATCTCACTTTGTAGTTCAGGCTGAATTTGAACTCACTGTGTAGCTCAGGCTGGCTTCAAACTAGCAGCAGTCCTGCCTCAGCCTCCCAAGGGCTGGAATTTACAGGCATGCTCCACCACAACCAGCTCTTTTTTTTGGAGCAGGCAGGGTCTCGCCACATTGCCCAGGGTAGGATCAAGCTTCAGATCCTCCTGCATCAGCCTGCTGAATAGCTGTAATTACAACACACCTGGTT